CACAAAGCTTGGGGTTTAGAAACCCCATTTTCCTTAATATATGCGTTTGAATTATTTTAAATGGGGAATCTTCGTCCTTACATTCGGGCCAGTTTTGCTATATATTTACAATCTATACTTCTACACTATATATTAAGCAAAAGAGGGTTTTTAACTCCCAAGGCCTATGGGAGCTCCAATATCTCAATGTGAACTTTCAAAATTTTTTATTAAAAAAAAAAACCTCAGCATTTATTGATTTGATCAAAATTTTCTAATTAGCATTTATTAATTTTTTTCAATCCACATGTCTTTCCACATGCCTACATTTATTGATTTAGTCAAAATCCCCTGATCAGCATTTAAAATCCCCTCATACAAATAATTATAGATACAACCCGTGTATAGTTACAACTTCTCCCATACATTATGATTAGTGATAAGATTGTTGAATTATTTTTATAAAAAATCTTAAAAAACATAATTTATATATTAAAAAAATGTAACACAAACATAAATATTTATAATTATTATGTGCATAGCACAGTTGATAGGCTAGTTATCGATATATATGAATTGCGATTTTTAAATGTCTTTTTTTTTAAAAAAAATGTCTTCTTTTTTTTTATATTATATTAAAGTTTAATATTTTGATAATAATCATATGTGTTGGACTTTTTAATGAATTAAATGTCTTCTTTTTTATTATATTATATTAAAATTTAATATTTTGATAATAATCATATGCATTGGACTTTTCAAGAAATTATTTTTATACTTGTTCTTAATGCATTAAAGTATTATTATGAGGGATAATAATCATATATGTTAGGATTTTTGAAGGAATTCATATGTGCTAGATTTCAAAAAAAAAAATTATACTTGTTTTTAATGTATTGAAGTGTTATTATGAGAGTAAGACTTGAGAGTTGAGAGAAGTTAATAAATGCTAAGATTTTTTTTTTTAAATCAAAAAATCAGAAAATTTGGATTGAGAGATTGGAGCTCCCACAAGGTTTAGGGTTAAAAAACTCCCTTTTACTTAATATATTGTATAAAATTTTCATTATTCATAATGTGTTGTATTTATAGGAAGAAAAAAAAACGTAGAATGTGAAGTCCAATCGAAGATAAAAAAAAGATGAAAATTCAAAATTTATGTTTTATAATTTAATAGACTATAATTGATTGAATCAAATTTAATTTAAGCCGGGTTTTGAGAAGGCATAATTGTAGTCCAAAATAAAAAATAAAAAATAACTAAAAAATTAAAAATTCAAAAAAAAATTTAATTCAGACTCTCTTTCTTACATGTTTTTAGTAAAAAACAAAAACGTCTTTATCAAATACATTAATTTGTTTTTACTTTACATCTAAAAAAATTAAAAATTTATTAAAACAAATCAATTCATAGATGAACTTATGAATCACAAAATAATTTTGAAGTAATTACAGCCTAGTGAAATTTTAAAAAAATAATTAAAAATTAATGAAAAAATTTATAATATTAATTATTGATATTTATAATTATTTTTACGAGTGTTATAATTTGATATTTTGCCCGGACTATCATTTTGGGGCTAAAGAAGGTACAAAATGACAAAATAGACTAAATAGTTAATAAGATAAAATATCATATTTAACCTATATTCATTACATTTATTCTTTTATAAAATTTTAAAAAATCAGAAAATCTAAATCAAACAAAACTAAAAAAGCCAAGTTAAAAAAAAGGGTTTGGTTATGGTGTGCAACTTACAACTTACACCTTATACCTTACACTTACACCTTACACTTACACCTTTTGTAAAAAATTAAACCTTACACTTACACCTTTTTTGAGGTTGCACACCATGTGCAACCCACTTACACCTTACACTTTACACTTACACCTTACACTTACACCTTATACTTATACTTACACCTTACACTTACACTTTTTGTGTAAGTGACACATGGTGTGCACTTGCACACTTAAAAAAACTCCTAAAAAAAATTCAATACAAAAAAATTGATTATATTAATCAACATCAAACGAATTTGATAGTACGTGGCCTTAACAGCGTTGATGACAGCTAATATGAATGACAAAAAGCAAGGAGAGACACACCGCCGGAAAATGACGGTTGGTTTGTGTTTCTAAAAAAATTTTAGAAAATTTTTTTTACAAATAAATTTTTAAAAGTAATTAAATCAAACAAATTTTTTCAAATTTTTTTTCAAAACTTATTTAGTTTACAAGTTTTTCAAATAAATCTCTTTCTTATACAAATCAAATCAATCACTTTTTTCAAAACTCTCCATCAAAATAATTTTTCAAAACATCTTTTGAAAAAAAATCAAACCAAATAAATTTTCGTACTTTTTATCTCAAAACATGTTTCTCAAATACAAACCAAACAAGATGTATGTGATGTGAGAAAAAAAAAAAAAAAAGAAAGAAAGTTGTATGGACTATAGAGAGAGAGAGAGAGAAATACTGTGAAATGGTGTGACATTTGTTTATTTTAAAGTAAAGCATGATTTGAGAATTGATTATTTTAATACTCTTTTTTTTTAAATATTAGTTTTTTATTTTATTTTTATTTTCTTAAAATATTAATTTTTTTAAAAAAAATTAAGAATTAGAATGATATAAATTTTATATTTTATTATTATTTTAAATTTATTAACAACACAAAAAATATAATTATGACCATTGATATTTTTTTTTAAAAATATACTATTAAAGGATAATTTTGAAAAATTAAATTTTTTAAAATGTAATAATTGTACTACTAAAATAAGTTAAATTTTTTTTAAAAAATTATTATTTTAAGACGAAGAGAGTAATTTTTTTATTTTTCATAAGAAATTGTAAAAAAACAAAAAGTATGATATAATAAGTTATAAATAAGTGTACTTTTTTATTTTTGATTAAATATGTATTGAGTATATGTTGAGTTTGAAGTGATGTGGTAAAGAGGTGATGTGACTTAAATAGGATAAAGACTTTTTGCCTTTTTGATTTTTTTAGATGATGACAAACAAGTTGAGTTTCTAAAAAATATTTTTCAAAAATTTCTACTTTTTTGTTTTTCGTATTTTTTTTTATTTTTACTGAATTTTTTTAATATTTTAAGCAAGTTTTTAATATAAATACAATTACAAAGTATAATTTTTGTGATTTTTTTTTAAAAAAAATTCACTAAATACCAAAAATATAAAAAAAATATATGAAAATTTAATATGTTTTTCATATTTTTGTGTATTTATTAATTTTTTAAAATATTTTTCATAAATATTTTATTTTTTAGACATATCTAATAAGATGCATCTAGAAAAATAAAAAAAAAAACTTAAAATTTTAAAAATATTCATTAAAAATAAAAATATATAAAAAACAAAAAAATTAATTTTTAAAAAACGTAATTCAGAATCTCAAACTAAACAAACTGAATAATATTTTTGACTAAAATTTTAAATTGTTAAACGGGACCAAAATTTACCATCTTAAGAGAGAGAGAGAGAGACTCAGATTGAAGGTTGAAGTTTCAAAATTTTTTTCTCCAAAAAGAGGGTACACGTCGCCTTTATGATGGAAAAAGACGGCACCGTATTCCTTTGACTTCCCGCTTCTCTCCTCTCTCGCTCTCTCTCTCTCTCTCTCTCTCTCTGCTATACATACAAACACTACTTTGTTTGGTTTGTAATTCAAATCCCGAAAGAAGTGAGCTATTTTAGCCTAATCACGTGATACAAACAGTAAAACTGTGTTTGGTTTGCTATTCAAACCGTGTGATTCAAATCACCAAAGGTTTTACTTGGAAGGTTATTTTAGTATGTTATTTTAGTTTTTGTTTGTTTTGATAGATTAAAATTTTCAGATTTGAAAAGATGGTTAAATGTTTTTTGTAGTTGAATGTAATATTTGTTAAAAAAAAATGAAATGATTATGAATTTAATGTGATATTTTACTTTATTGACTATTTTAACTTATTTTATATTTTTGTAAATTTTAGCCTAAAAAGTTAATTTTTAGCCTTTCCCAAACAAGTTTTTTAATAGTTGGTTTGATAGTTATGAAAGAAAAAGTGAAATGATTATAAGTTAGATGTAATATTTTATTTTATTGATTATTTTAGTCTATTTTATCTTTTAATAAGTTATTTTAGCCTAATCATATTCTCAAACAAGGATTGGAAAGAGGATTGGATTCCATACTCAATCCATCATGGAGTTTATTATTTGGTTGAGAATTTGTCGACAACTATTATGTTCTAGGGGATGTGGGATTGAAATCCTATAGGGTGAAGTTGTAAAACGACACATTTGTCTTCAAAATATTTGATTTGGTTTTGCGTTGTATTTCATAAAATAAAATAGAATACAAAAATCTCAATTAAAAAATAAAACAAAATAAATAATTTAATTTAATTTTTTAAATGAATTTTTATAGATGTTTTATTTTAAATTTTTGTTGATATTTTATTTAATTTTTACTTATTTTTTATTTAATATTTATTATTTTTTAAAAATAATTTATTTGAAATTTTATTTTAAAAATAACATAAATTCTTATTGATGTTTTATTTATTTAATTTAAAAAATAAATTTATTTAATTTTTATTTAACATAGCAAAAAAATTAAAATATTAAAGTCATATTACTATTACTTAATAAATAATTAAAAATAGAAAATTAGTTTATTGAGCGTTTATCTTTCTCCATAATATTTCAATCAAACATTGGATTTAATAAGATAATCCTTTCAAGACATTGAATCTTGTGAGAAAATAAACATAGGATACACATCATTTTTAACTAAATAATCGAAGACAATATTCAAATTAATAATCCAAAAAATTACAATCCACTTATCTAGTCCAGTCCCTTAAAAAAAAAAAAAAAAGAAAAAAAAAAAGGCCTATATATACAAGCACTCCCCATACGGACCTGCACTTCCCATACGGACCTACATCTTTCTATCTTCTCTTCTGTTGGGATTCTCTCTCTGTGTCTCTCTCTCTCTCTCTCTAGAGCAGTTCAGTTTGTGATAAACTAAACAAAGTTAAGCATGGGAAGAACACCTTGTTGTGAAAAAAATGGGCTTAAAAAGGGACCGTGGACTCCTGAGGAAGATCAGAAGCTAATAGATTATATTCAGAAAAATGGCTATGGAAATTGGAGGACACTTCCAAAGAATGCAGGTATATATTTCTTCTTTTTTCAGTTTTCAATGTTGTTTATTGTTCGCATGGTTGAATTATTTATGAGTTTTTCTGGGTTTTTAAAGTTTGATATGTAGTAATATTTTATACAATTGTTACATACAGGTCTGCAAAGGTGTGGAAAGAGTTGTCGGCTTCGTTGGACCAACTATTTGAGGCCTGATATCAAAAGAGGAAGATTCTCTTTTGAAGAGGAAGAGACAATCATCCAACTACATATTATATTAGGAAATAAGTAAGTTGTTTTTCCTGTTTTGATTTAACCATTTTTTCTAAAATTGTTTCGCACCTAGAAAATTTATTTTTTAAATAATTTTCCTAGGTACGTGACATTTTACTTTTTTTAGTCTCTCTGTCATATAACTGGACATCTAGTTGTGAGAGATGATTAAGGCCTCGTTTGGGAACAGGCTAATTTAGTAACTTTTTGACTATTTGGCTAAAATATGAGCTAAAAAAAACTAGTATGTTTGGGATGACTTTTTGGCTAATTACAAAAAGATGGGCAAAAAGTAGAGAGAAAAGAGAATCTTTGACTTTATGGTATGGGTTGTTGGCTTTTTGACTAATTTAATAACTTTTTGACTTTTTGGCTAAAACAGAACCTTCCCAAACGAGGCCTAAGCTTCTAGAGACAAAAATTATGTTTGGTTTGAATTTTTTGAATTAAGTTTTTAAAAAATTGAGTTTTTTAGTTTTTGTGTTTTTTTATTTTTAGTGAATATTTTTAAAATTTTAAATATTTTTTTTTTTACTTTTTTTAGATGCACTTTACTTAGATGTATCTAAAAAGTAAAAAATTTGTGAAAAAATATTTTTTAAAATTAATAAATACATAAAAATATAAAAATGTACTGAATTATCGTATTTTTTTTTGTATTTTTGGTATTTAGTAAATTTTTAAAAAGTTTTTTTTCAAATTTTTTTTACTTTTTAGGTATAAGTATGTTAGCTATGTTTAAAAATTAAAAAAATTGCTCAAAATATTTAAAAAAAATCAGTAAAAACAAAAAAAAAACGAAAAATAAAAAAGTAGAATTTTCTGAAAAGTGTTTTTAAAAAATGATAACCAAACATGTTTTTCTCACGATTTGTCGTCCAGTAATATGAGAGAAGCTTGAGTCTCTTAACAATTATGTACAAAAGTCTGATTTTGTATTCTCTTCTTTGTTTGACTTAGGTGGTCTGCTATTGCTGCTCGCTTGCCCGGCAGGACCGACAACGAAATAAAAAATTATTGGAATACCCATATCAGAAAAAGGCTTCTCCGAATGGGAATCGATCCAGTGACTCACAGTCCCCGCCTTGATTTTCTTGACATTTCTTCAATTCTAGGCTCATCTTTCTACAACAACTCATCTCAAATGAATCTTTCAAGATTTCTTGGTGTTCAAACACCCTTATTAAACCCAGAATTGCTAAGGATAGCCACTTCTCTCCTAACCTCTCACCGTGAAAACCCAAACCTCATTCTCCAAAATGTTCAAGAAAACCAGCTTTGTTACCCACAAGTCCAAAACCAAATGCCACAATTGGTTCAACCTAACCAACTTCAAACCCTAATTGATCAAGAAATTCCAACTTGCAATATTCCATTTCCTAATGAAGCCCAACTCATGGAACCAAATGTGGACCAATTCTCATCAAATTTTACCAACTTTAGCTCCCAAAATTGTCAACTAAATGATTGGCAAAGCAATGGAATGGCTTCAAACTTGGGAGAAGATTACATGTCCCTACCAAACTACGAATATTATGGGTCTGATCAAAGCATCATTGAAAACCCCAATCCATCTGAAAACTCAAAATTTCAATCCAACAACAGCAACAACTTCAGCTTTGCATCTGTCTTATCAACTATGTCGACACGTTCATCGAGTCCGGCGCCGTTGAATTCGAATTCAACGTACATCAACAGCGGCAGTACTACGACGACTACTGAAGATGAGAGGGAAAGCTACTGCAGTGGCATGTTGAAATTTTAAATTCCAGACATGCTGGATCATGTTAATGAATTCATGTAATTTCAAAATCAAGCTGATAATCAGCAGAGAGTTGTTTTTGTTTGTTTTTTTTTAGACCCTCTGGGCTTTTACTTTGCTAATGTTACTTGTAAAATTTCCTTAATCATTTATTGCAATATTGTGTCCCAAAATTCACTATGCTTTGCTTTTCTTCTTGTGAACTTACCACTACTAATCATTGTTTGAACTTATCAGTTGATACATAATAGAATTTTAGAATTACAATACATTTAATCACCAATATTTCAACAGATATATCATCGCATCGTCGATACTCACTGCTATTAACATATTATCATTTGAAATTGAAAAAAAAAATTTAATTAGATAGAAAAAATATATTTTTTAAAAATTATTATGTGAATTATACTTAAAATAAATCAAATCTACACATTGGATTTTTGAATTACAAAATATTTTTTGTGTGTTTGTTTTGTTTTTCTAAATTTTACACTTTGGTAGCTCAACTTTAGGGGAAATTATTCAATATTCCCGGAGTATCACGTATCTGTACTCCCTAATCAATTATCATTCAATATGCCTCCTCATATTTCCTAGTCACCCAGCACAATATCCATCTTCTCTACCAATTATAATATTATGGATTATCACGTGTCTATAATTCGAAATTACTGAATAATTATCCCTAATAATTACACATTGAATTCAATAGATCACAAATGAATGGGGGTGACAAAAAGTATTAAAACCGTGGACCCTTTCATGTCCACCCAAAATATTAAATCCTATGAAATAAAAAAACAATTTGATGCAATATAAATATGTATGGAATCATATCAAAAACTTTCCATATCTGTCACTCAACATATATATATACAAATAATATTAAAAATAATAATAATAAATAGTTGTTGGCTTTGTCTCAACAAACAATATTTCAATTCAATTCTATCTTTCTTTTAAAGAAACCTTCAAGTTTTAATTTTTTTTTTTTTAAATTAGGCCAAATGGGTAATAATTATCTATATAAATAGAAAGATTTAGAACTAAAGAAAACAAAATGGTTTCATAGATCCCAACAGTCAGACCCAGCGACAACGCCGGTTATAGTTGCCGGAGAAGGGAAGGCTGACACGTGTTACTGCCACCTGTAAGTTAACTGTCTTTTTCACATACCAATAAATAAATATTTATTTATATAGTATGCATGTGCATGGTAATTGAGGCTTTGACTAAGAGGGGTACGTGGCGAGGTATAAGGGGGTGGATAAGGTTTGTGGGTCCCACATTAATAGGCTTGTATGAAACTTTATTGAAAATCATGGCATGGCTCTTGTGCCAATTTTGTCTTTTTGGGTCAGCCTCTACAATTAATTTGAGCCTGTGTCAAACACAGCCTTAAATGGGATACGTCATTATTTTGGACACGTGGATTCAATATGCAGTGTTTGGTGGGTCCTTAATATGGTGACCGGCTGACCCGGTGACGAGAGAAATTCTTATCCGGTTTGTTAGGTTTGGCTGCCGAGCGTTTGTCACTGTACTCGCCGATTATTTCTCTATATTTTTTGCTAATTAGTTGGATATTATTTATAAATATTAGAAAACATACATTTCATTGAATAGTTAATTATGTAAAAAAAATTCAATAATACATAGTTATAAACACAACAGAAACCATCATTATATTAATATAAGATTTTTTTATAATAAAGAAATTTATTTGATTGTAAGTACTTTTGTTTGATAATGCTTAACGTAGCAATGAGTACATATTTATTTGATTATAAGTATTTTATTTGATAATGCTTAATGCAGCAATGATTAATGTAATCATTACCAAACAGTGGAGTTTTTGAACAAAAGTGAACGGAATGACTATTATGAATTATAGAAATATTATATACTTTTAAGAGTGTTTAAAATTTAAATGTATGATATAAATTAAAATTTGATGAAATAAATTTTATTTACAAATTTAATTTTATGAGAATTTTTTAAGATAACTCTTTAATTGTGTTACATTGCCAATATTACAAATATAAATCATTATTGACCCTATAGAAAAGAAAATGCTTATGTATAATTTTATGTATTATATTTGATTTCCAAATTAAACCAAATCAAACCAAACCAAGTTTTAAGCCTTATCAAATGCGGTCGATTTATGAATCTTTTTTTTCCACTCGACTTTATCCAAGGCTATTTTGATTGCCTCTATAAACATTTTTATATTTCATTTTTATGGAGACGTAATTTTGAGTAAGGCCACGTGATACACTCTCCGGTGGAGATTGCAAGTGGCAAATTGTTATTGGCCGATGTGTTGATGCTGACCATACAATGGTGGCTGAGACATTAGGTCAGAATGTTGAGTCCGAGTGGAAGTGTCTCCTAAGTTGTAGTTAGGGTTTTGGGAGAAGTTTTTCCTAACCCTAGATAACGTGTTGCTCCTAGATGGAATGAGTTTTGTAAGGAAGAGATTTTAGGAGGCGACAGAATACTCTATATAAAGGTAAGCAACTTCAAGGGTAAAAATACGTGTAAATTTGTGCATTCAAATTATTTATGCATTGAATATCTTGTGAATTGTTATTAACTTCAGTATCAGAGTACCCTCCCGATTGATTACCAACTGAGCTAGTATGACTTAAAAATAGATTTTATAACACAAAATTGTTATGTCTAACTTTTATTTGTTCCTCAATATATGATAGATTCACAATATCCACTAATTGTTGCACTTTCTCATACAATGAGTGCCTATTTGGGAAGTGGGTTTGGAGGTTTTTTTTTGCTAAAATAGCCATAAAAAATAAAATAAAATTTTATATTGAGGAGAAGTTTTTCCTAACCCTAGATAGCGTGTTGCTCCTAGATGGAATGAGTTTTGTAAGGAAGAGATTTTAGGAGGCGACAGAATACTCTATATAAAGGTAAGCAACTTCAAGGGTAAAAATACTTGTAAATTTGTGCATTCAAATTAAATTTTTTAACTCAATAAGATAAAATATCACATTCAATCCATAATCATTACATTTTTTCTCTCATAAAAAAGTCAAAAAAACCAAAAGTCTTTCCCAAACCATGCTTTTTAGACCATCTCTAACGTTGCACCAGATTCAGTATCAAATTTAAATTTGATAAAAAAAGTCACTTTTTCTTCTCCAATGGTTTCACAAAATTGATATCAAACTGAGAACGGAGCAAATTTTTTACCAAACTGAGAATCTGCGTGAGCCTTCACCAATTCATTGTGCTGTAACGTTGCAAGTGGGCCCACCGGTCAACCGGCTAGATGTCTGGCCGGTCGACCCACCGGTCGACCGAAAACAAGTTCAAACAGTTGAACTAGGTAGGTTCAAACAAGTTCAAAAAGGTAAAAAAAAAAATTTTTAAGCCTTACCAGTCGACCCACCGGACGTCCCTTCCTTTGATGCACACCGTTGGAGCAAGCCATATCAAATTGAGAAAATGAGCTATTTTTTACTCAAATTTTGTGAAAAAAGTAATGCACCGTTGGAGATGCTCTTAACCCCAAGTTAAAATAGTCAAAAATGTCAAAAAACTAATCCACTTTCCAAACCAAGCCTGAATGTTGAATAATTTCTCTCCTAGTGATTTGATAATTCTTCATAATAGCTTATCCTCTCCCATTTGAAATTCTACATGCATCTAATTAAACTTATGGGTCATTGTTGCTTATGTGTCTCAATACCTGGATCAAAGTGACGATTAACACTAAAATTGGGAGAAAAATATCTCATAATATAACTATTATACCATAAACATCTTACAATCAAGTCATTTTACAATAAATTTACATCCCAAATAAGTGATGAAATATGAAAGAATGCAACATGAAAGGGTCATGAATTTGGTTACCTAATCAATTACGAAAACTTTCTAATTTTTCCATTAACAAAATAAAAATCAGTACTTATCACTCGCCGACATCAAATTATTGATGAAATAGACCATACAAAAGTCTCAAGGAACATGATACAACTGATTGAAATCTCATTTTGGTTCTAATAATCATTCAAATATTGACATGTCATTTTGGTTCACCAAGAAGTGAGCTTACATTTAATACATTATGAAATGTGAACACAATATAGTCAACTCTATAAGAGAACCAAGAAGAACCACGTAGCTTATACATCTCAATTGATCGCCAACCTGAGCTTCTCTCTCTTCTACTCGTACGATTCGAAGCTGTCATCTTGTAACCGACTCTCTAGGTCAAACCCTTTTTGTATCTAGATCCTAGGAATGTAAGCCATGCATCACGTATACGTCACAGAAACAATCATATAGATTTCCTTGATTTGAGAGTGATATAAGTGTCACCGAAAATGTCATTATGCTCCGTTTAGTTTAATTTTAAAATTATGATTTAAGTTTAGAATTATATTTTAAATTATAAATTTTGAGTTAAATATCAAAAATAAAAAAATTTATTTAGTTATAAGTTTTGAAATATATATTTTAAATATTTTTTAAAATATTTAAAAATTTAAAATAAGTTGTATTTTTTATTTTAAATATTTTTTAATGAATTTTATTTTTAAAAATATTTTAATTTTTTACTTTCTTTTAAAATATTTATTTTTTAAAAAATTTTGAATCAGCATAACAAACTATTTGGCCAATATTAAAAAAAATAACAAAATATTTTTTCAAATAAATAAAAAAATATTTTTTTCAAAAATAAAATAAAAAATAATTTTAAAAACAAAATAAAAAAATTGATTTTTTTTTTAAATAGAGTTTTGAAAAAAGTTTGGTTATGAATTTTAAAAAGAATTTTTGAATAGAATTTGAATTATGTGTTTAGTTATAAGTTTTAAAAATAATTTTTAAATTTCGTGTTTAGTTATGAATTTTAAAATTTTGTGTGATAAAATCACGATTCTAAAACTAAACCAACACTACCTGACTAACTTTTCTTAGGTTGAAAATTGATAACAAAAAAAAAATGGAAATTAAAATATTTTTTTTTAAATTTTTAGATAATTATTTTTTTCTTAATTTATTTAAGTTGTTTTTACTTTATAAATTGTAAGTGAAAAGTTATATCAAATACTTTAACACAAACACCTACAATAAATAACAATAATAATAAAATAAAATAAAAAGTAAAGTTATAAGTAATCCATAAGTTGCACCAAAAA